GAAGTGGAATTCAGGTGCACAGATAATTCTATTAATAATCATGTACCGGTTATTGATGTACAAGTCAAGCAGGAAGTTACAATGCATTGACTCACAAACTACCTTGATTGGTTTAATAATTTCGTATATGCATATACGAAATTATTACTGCATATTAGAGTAAAATCTGATCAGGATCTAATGGAAAACTATTGTTCGCTTATATATGTTGTTTTAAATTTAGAATATGGAAATTTTTCAAATTTAGAATTTTTAACAAAATTAAAATAAGAATGAAATTTAAACTATACTTGGCGCCCAATTTTTGTCAAACTATTCGTTTTAATATTGACAAATATTTGTATAAATGAAATTTAGATTTTAAAATTTCTTCTAAAATATATTTTATCATCTGGATAATTCTATTGATATGATCAAATAATTTACTGGCTTATGTTTCATGTAGTGACTTTGCAAAATAAAAATATGTAGGTTTAGCTAAACAGTTTGATTAGCTAGAATGATTTTACTAAGGAAGTTGTTTATTAAAAAGTTTATCTAACACTACTGATTGTACTTGGTATATTCAAACAAAGTAGGATCTAAATATATTCAGGTCGTTCAATAGTGATTTGTCATTAAATCTTTGTTCTATATGATATATTAGCGCAATACATTTCGAACAATCTAGTTGACTTTTTATTTTTATATATAAATATTCTTAACAAGTATGTAATGTGTGATCAGATTGTCCGAAATGTATTGCGCTAATATATCACATAGTTCTGATAATCTTCGTCTTCTTATTACATTATCGAAATCTTTGTTTATCGATTTAGCCTTTGTTACATGCAACTGAAATTAAACGAAATATAGAAATATAATTAATTAATAAGAACTTTCGTCTAAATTTGATCGAATAGTTTCACAGTATTTGGGCGCCGAGTTAATGTGAGACATTAAAGAGGAAGAATGTATTTTTGAAGGAAAATATAATCAAACAACAAAATTATCGAATATAAATAGGTACATGGTTCTCCGGTTTACTATATACTGAATAAGTCATTTAATCAACATGAAAAATGTTTAAAGTAGGTATTTACATTAGTGTGTGTAAGAGACGTGTGGTGTAAAACGAAAAGTGTTAAGATAACAGACTGTGTGTGATGTGAGAAAAAAAAATTTCATTCAACTATATATTGTCATCGGTCTGTGAATATTAAAAAGAAATACTGTCACCAGAATTAATGAATAGAAATTAGGATCACAAAATTAATCTTTGAGTTCATCTAACTATCTTAAAGTTATTCTAAACAAGAAATTTCATGAAAAATCTTACATTTTTAAATAAAATTCTATCATTTTAGTACTATTTCTGTTAAACAATATTAAAATAAAACAAACTGAACTGAAAATAGAAAATTCAATAAAAAATAAAAAAATTAAACATGTTTACTTGATGACTTTAAGAAATAATTATTGATTAAACAGAGTCCTCAACAAGTCCACCAATTGAAAGACAAAATATAAAAAGTACAATTACCCCCCCCCCTAAAAAAAATAAAAGTCAGCTGATGGTGTACTTCTTTCCAGAATCCTATTTGATTTCTGTACATTTGCTAACTTACATAATGATGAAAAAATGTTGTTAGATTGAACTCTAGAGACTCTGTAAATGAACTTCAATTTTCTATACTTCTTGTTAGATAGTCTATATACAGCATATCAATTAAGAACTTGTGGCTAGAATGCAATGAAAAGTAAGACTAAGTGGTGATTTTATATAACGTATGTGTCTTCTATAGTTTTTAATCAGTTTTTATTATTTGTAACCGGACCATTTTTGTCATAAAAAACCATTCATTCGAGATATCTTATTGGTTCGCAAATACTTTTATAAACCGTTTCTCACAACTTTTACAATATTTGTATGTAGACTAACTAAAATATCGAGGAACAGCATCATGAGATAACGATCTGAAAATCTTTTACGTGAAATCTTTAACATTTTCAAGCAATTTAAAGAACACAATAGATTTTATTATTCAGTTTGTCAGTAATGACATGCTATAATCTAAATTTTCTATTGAACAAAGGCATAAGAGACGAATTCTAACTAAATTATGTCTTGGATTAAATCTTCATCAAAATGAATAAGTGTTTGGTAAAAATTTCTCTTTCATCATATCAAATCACCAAAAATCTATAATTATAATTATAATTATAAATCCAAAGCTATTCATAAATTCGATGCAAGTTGTCATCACAATCAACTTCGTGCAAAAATCAAGAGCTTTTTTCCTAATTTGAATTGATTTGGGAGTATAATATAACTATACAAACATTAGTTATTGATGAAATCCTCCAGGAAACTAATATTTGTATCAAGAAATTTTATCAATAAGCTTAAATTTATAAAAATGAAAAACCCTTTTTATTCTGATATTCTATTGTGTTAACGACCATATTGTGTCGTTTGAGTCAGTTAGTTATAAGCAAAGTAAAATATGGAAAATTTGAGCATTGATTCAAGTTCCCACACCAGGTTAACATAACGATTGGATGTTATTAAGAAAAATGTCAGGGTAGTAGAAATAATAACTTTCAGTGGTAGTAGAAAAGATTAGATATAAACAAAATGATACGAAGAAAAGTTTGAATTCGTGGAGCAAAAAGCATAAGATAATTTTATGACTCACGATCTCAGAGAAAATAGAAATGATTGGATATGCATTAAAGGGACCGATTTTAATCTCTATCACTTAACGTCTCCAACCATTGGTTACAATAATCGCATAAAACCTAACAAGGTAGTTTTTACCTATTAACGTGGTTCAATTCAACTATTACTGACTTCATAATCTGATGCCAAGTATTTATTTGACTGCCCTTAGCTTTTTTTCAGTCTACTCATAATCCAGCATACATCAGACATCGAGGTAGGTGATGTTTGGACATATGTAATGCATGACCTGACTACTTCAGTTGATAAAGATTAACTACCCAGTCAAGCAATCTATCATTTCTTTTTGATCAACCCCGATAGTGCATTTTATGACTGAATATAAGAATAAATATCAATCATATGCTTATGAATTAATTAACATTACATTATGAATATCTATAACAGTAAAATAATAGTAAGTAAACCATGAAATATACAACAAAAATATTATTCCATCATAAACTGGTTACATAATTATGAGAATTGGAAATGAAAAAAGTGAGTCTAAACAGGAATTCTTGTTGTTGTATTGTTAAATGATCCTGTAAAATGATCCAAGATTTAAAAAAAAGATGCAGTACAAACCTTTAACGGACGCATAATTTAAGTTTTTTTGTTTTTTATGCAAATTTTTGTAGCATTTACTGTATATAAAAATTAAAGTCATACATAATCATAGAATATAATAAATGGGTTTCAATAGGATAATTATTTTCTCCATTTCCATTACATTGAATTGATTTTCAATATTAATTAAATATACAAAAATAGAGTTTCGTTTAAAAATAAATTCAAGTGTAATAATAAATTTAAGTAAGTTGGTTTATTTATTTTGTAATCTCACATATTATTTGTTAAGTAGAAAAATAAAATTGATTTCACCATCGAGATAATCATCATGAGATGGTGGAGAAGATTAGTAGTTCAAGTGGATGATTTTGATGGAGTTTTGCTCGCTGAGCTAGATGGTTTGGTCGTGGAGCTTTCATCGTTCTTCTGAACGATATCATCAGCACAAACTTCAGATAGAAGTGAAGCGTTCGAATTTCTCCAACCAATCAGGAAAATTATGCACAAACATAGGAACAAAAATTAAACTAATGGGAGACACAACAAAAACAAAGAAGTAAACAATGACAAATTTAAGATCAATAACAACCAATCAACATCGAGGTGTACAGAACAAGCTGTGAAACGCATATAGAGAAATTCGAACGCTTCACTTCTATCTGAAGTTTGTGCTGTTGTCGTTCAGAAGAACTATGAAAGCTGCACGACCAAACCATCTAGCTCGTAGAATGAAACTCCATCAAAAAGATGATCATCATGTTTAGTCTCTTATTACTTTCTTTTTTTTCTTTTTTCTTTTTCGATAAATATTAATTTATAAAATCAACAAATAATATTTTCACTAAGTAATTTATACAAAAACACAATAAATAAACGAACTACTTGTATATCAAATATATTTCCAAAAAGAATTGTTATTGTCATTGGTGACAAAAAACAAATATTCTGTATACCAATATGATTTGTTCTACAAATAGCTAGTTTCCATGTTAATAAATTATTTAAATAAAGAGTAGAGAGCGAATAAGTGATATATTTCTTTTTAAGATGAGGACTTCTAAAAGAGTGTGCAGCTAGTTATTCCTAGGAACTAGTTATATCAAAGACTTTATATTTAGTTCTCAGTTCGATTCTCGAGTGCGGAATCGTGGGTGCGCATTGCCGAGGAGTATCGTATTAGGACGAAACATTCTTTTAGTGCTTACAGGTTTTCAGTAGTGGTCTAATTTAAATTAGTTAGTGATTTCAATGAAATTCAAAAATCTTTACAATCCCATGCTGGAAAATATTACGATCAAGTTTAATTTATGATTGTGTACTTAGGACGTATCAATTCAATTTGGTTTAGATTGAAACTTATGTAGGTTGTGGCTGGATGTAATCAACATGAAATCCTGGACTTAGGTTTCGTGTTGTTTTACACTCGTTAGCATGGTTTACTTGTAACTGTACCTGGTAACTATCAAGCAATCAAACTATTGAAAACCGATAAAATTTATTTCACAGACAAAATATTATAATAACGCTTATTGACATGATTCTAAAATAAATTTCTTCGTCTTTTTTTTTTGAAGTATGTACTGATTTCGTTTAGAAAGATAAGGTTCAACGTTTAAATCACCCATCTCACACTCTACATCCTTAAAACATATATTTATATATATCCCTATGTATATTCAAATTGTCTTGTGATTTTGACCGTTTCTCCTATAAAATCCTACTTTAGGGTAACACTCATTACAGTACAAATCGTACCACTCCGTTCGGACGTAATGCTGCTTTTACAACACCGATTGATCAATATTTGAATAGTCGGATGCCATGTGAAATGCAAGTATATCCACGTTGAAAAAATCACAACAAAAAGTTAAATGAGGCAGTGGCCTCTATTTATTTATACTTGAAATATAACTATGCATCATTTTACCATAATAAAGCAAAATAATTATACTGCTTTAATTTTTCGAGTAATTCATTGTATTGTATGCTAAGATTAGCATATATGAAAAGAATATGTCAGATCGAAATGAAAAAAATTATCATTTAACTATTCAGTTTACTTTAACACTAAGGCCGACTTAGGGGCATGTAAGAGTATATTTGATGGGCCTCGGAAACAACGGGACGTTTGTTCAACATTCAACCACCAGATAAAACTAAACAAATGCAATTATATGAATAATATAGAGTTTATTACTAAATTGAGCTTAAAGGTTTCTAAATGATGAGCTATTTTTGGTTTAAAACTCATAAACCGAAGAACAACTGTCAGTCTGAATACGAAACTGAAATTAAAAGAAAAGCTAGGATATGGTGAAGGGTAAACGATAAAAACATTCGCATTCATATTCGAAACAGCGGGATAATTTGAAAGCATAAAAAATAAAATAAATAACTCGGATGACAGGTGTCGAGCTAAACCTCCTTATCTACTATGATCGACAAAAGCCGGGTGATAAAAGCAAAAATCAGAAAAGATATTTAGTTACCTAGTATCCAACGCCGATTTGATCAAATGATTATACTACCCAAAGGTAGGTCCAGATTGCCCTCATATATAATTATCAACTTAATTCACTTAATTAAACAACGGTATATAATAAGCCAAATTCGAGAATGAATCTTGGATACGTGTATTTCATACACTTCATGAATCAGATAGACAATGAGAGAAACGAATCCAGGAAGCAGACAATAGAAGGCGAGTGTGCCAACTCAAATGAATTAAGGGTGAAAATATCATATCCAGACAAAAATAAGACCAAGACGTGATGAATAGATAGGGCGATACACACAGAAATGCACACAAGAAGTCAAACTAATTGGCGAGTAAACGACAAGGTTAAAATATGACCAAAGGCGAATAACTTAGCATATATTCAACCAATCGTAAAAATAAGAGCACGAAAAAGTACCAGAGAAAACAGAGCGAAATAAGGAAAAGGAGGAGACCGTTAAAAATTAAGACAAAAATTAGATGAAAAGTGATGAACAAGGGGAAAAGAATGAAAGAAGAGACAGAAAACTTAACCAATGTACTTTAGCATATTAGGAGAGTGAACAAGAGTAAAGTACAATAGAAAACTTCCGAAACAAAGTCATCGTACAGTAAACGATAAGCCGACTTTAGATCACCATATATTCTAAAGTATGATGATGGAAATAATTTGAAATCTCTCCGTATGTCCTCATAAGATAGGCCAGAAAGACCTTTGAACACTATAGTCCCTCGTGATAGAACTAATTCCAGCATATCTGTCTCATATGCGAAATAAGGACTCCCTGATTTTAAATATAGTCTCACGAAAGTTAGGCATAAAAATTTAAATATTTCTTCATCAAAACACAAAAAAGACAGACGCATAGCTCATTTTAAAATATAATAATTGAAGCAGCATTACAGATAGTACTACAGTTGAGATCACAGTTTATTATGATAAAATAAGATTTTAAAGAAATAAATTATAAGCACGAAAACATACATTGAGTGAACATGCGAATCGGATACACGTTAAATCATTTCTCCACATTTCCACGCAGACGAAATTATTGATGAAAAATGCAAATTACTAACGTTTGAGATATCATGTCGGTAAAAAAAAAAACGAACCACGTATAAACACGGGCCGAGCCAGAATTTTGACAAATAACACCTGTCCACGCACATCACGAACTACACTCCTCACATTGCAGACGTATCATATTCACCGACACTGCCGACGGTGTACAACAAGCTGACGCCGTCAGAGACATCCACGTCAGTCGTGCTCACCACGAGTACACCGGTGTGTGGTTGGCGTCCGACTGTCGACACGATGACTGGTAAGTCTGTGATCACCCGTATCGAGTGGCCACGTGGTTGCAATCTTTCGAGTGAAGTCGGATAGACCAGTTCCCCGATTGGATAGTCCACGTCACCTACTGTCACACTCTGATATCCAACTCCGAGGAACACTGGACGCCATTAAACAAGTGAGACGGTTCATCAATTCCCGTGCCTCACTCACCATGAACTACAGACAAGGAGCTGACACATTGTCGGACAAACACATCGAGAGGAACACGGAAGCGCTGAATAATTGAACAAATATCCGACTCACGTAATGACGGACTGATTGTACAAGTGTGGTTGTGTGATCTGTTGAGTCTTCCACTATCAGACTCAGTGTGCAGCCTAGACAGTGTGATGAGTTGATGAGGTTGAATTTGAGTGTAGGAAGGATGGATTGCTGATATGAGTGTCGATTTCCGTGACAACCCAATCACAAATGATTCCCAGTCGACCATAATTAATTAATTCATTCATTCATTGATTAACTTGATTATTTGATTTTTTATCTATTTATTTAATTATTTGATTATTTATTTATTTATTCATTCATTCATTGATTCATTCATTGAATCATTCTATCATTCATCCATGCAACCATCAATCCATCCATCCATCCATCCATCCATCCATCCATCAATGGTTGACGGATCCTGCATGTATTTTATTGTCGAGCAGTGAGAGATGCGCGTAATCTGTATGATGCTGGAAATCACACAATCGTACTGGGAGACACAACTGATCAAGTGAATCGCTCACCATATGAAGGAGCTGAGTGTTAGATGGAGCGAGATGTTGACGCGAAAATTCGGGTTCGGTGGTGTAGTGGTTATCATGTCTGCTTTACACGCAGAAGGTCCCCGGTTCGAACCCGGGCCGAGCCAGAATTTTGACAAATAACACCTGTCCACGCACATCACGAACTACACTCCTCACATTGCAGACGTATCATATTCACCGACACTGCCAACGGTGTACAACAAGCTGACGCCGTCAGAGACATCCACGTCAGTCGTGCTCACCACGAGTACACCGGTGTGTGGTTGGCGTCCGACTGTCGACACGATGACTGGTAAGTCTGTGATCACCCGTATCGAGTGGCCACGTGGTTGCAATCTTTCGAGTGAAGTCGGATAGACCAGTTCCCCGATTGGATAGTCCACGTCACCTACTGTCACACTCTGATATCCAACTCCGAGGAACACTGGACGCCATTAAACAAGTGAGACGGTTCATCAATTCCCGTGCCTCACTCACCATGAACTACAGACAAGGAGCTGACACATTGTCGGACAAACACATCGAGAGGAACACGGAAGCGCTGAATAATTGAACAAATATCCGACTCACGTAATGACGGACTGATTGTACAAGTGTGGTTGTGTGATCTGTTGAGTCTTCCACTATCAGACTCAGTGTGCAGCCTAGACAGTGTGATGAGTTGATGAGGTTGAATTTGAGTGTAGGAAGGATGGATTGCTGATATGAGTGTCGATTTCCGTGACAACCCAATCACAAATGATTCCCAGTCGACCATAATTAATTAATTCATTCATTCATTCATTGATTAACTTGATTATTTGATTTTTTATCTATTTATTTATTTATTTGATTATTTATTTATTTATTCATTCATTCATTGATTCATTCATTGAATCATTCTATCATTCATCCATGCAACCATCAATCCATCCATCCATCCATCCATCCATCCATCCATCAATGGTTGACGGATCCTGCATGTATTTTATTGTCGAGCAGTGAGAGATGCGCGTAATCTGTATGATGCTGGAAATCACACAATCGTACTGGGAGACACAACTGATCAAGTGAATCGCTCACCATATGAAGGAGCTGAGTGTTAGATGGAGCGAGATGTTGACGCGAAAATTCGGGTTCGGTGGTGTAGTGGTTATCATGTCTGCTTTACACGCAGAAGGTCCCCGGTTCGAACCCGGGCCGAGCCAGAATTTTGACAAATAACACCTGTCCACGCACATCACGAACTACACTCCTCACATTGCAGACGTATCATATTCACCGACACTGCCAACGGTGTACAACAAGCTGACGCCGTCAGAGACATCCACGTCAGTCGTGCTCACCACGAGTACACCGGTGTGTGGTTGGCGTCCGACTGTCGACACGATGACTGGTAAGTCTGTGATCACCCGTATCGAGTGGCCACGTGGTTGCAATCTTTCGAGTGAAGTCGGATAGACCAGTTCCCCGATTGGATAGTCCACGTCACCTACTGTCACACTCTGATATCCAACTCCGAGGAACACTGGACGCCATTAAACAAGTGAGACGGTTCATCAATTCCCGTGCCTCACTCACCATGAACTACAGACAAGGAGCTGACACATTGTCGGACAAACACATCGAGAGGAACACGGAAGCGCTGAATAATTGAACAAATATCCGACTCACGTAATGACGGACTGATTGTACAAGTGTGGTTGTGTGATCTGTTGAGTCTTCCACTATCAGACTCAGTGTGCAGCCTAGACAGTGTGATGAGTTGATGAGGTTGAATTTGAGTGTAGGAAGGATGGATTGCTGATATGAGTGTCGATTTCCGTGACAACCCAATCACAAATGATTCCCAGTCGACCATAATTAATTAATTAATTCATTCATTCATTGATTAACTTGATTATTTGATTTTTTATCTATTTATTTAATTATTTGATTATTTATTTATTTATTCATTCATTCATTGATTCATTCATTGAATCATTCTATCATTCATCCATGCAACCATCAATCCATCCATCCATCCATCCATCCATCCATCCATCAATGGTTGACGGATCCTGCATGTATTTTATTGTCGAGCAGTGAGAGATGCGCGTAATCTGTATGATGCTGGAAATCACACAATCGTACTGGGAGACACAACTGATCAAGTGAATCGCTCACCATATGAAGGAGCTGAGTGTTAGATGGAGCGAGATGTTGACGCGAAAATTCGGGTTCGGTGGTGTAGTGGTTATCATGTCTGCTTTACACGCAGAAGGTCCCCGGTTCGAACCCGGGCCGAGCCAGAATTTTGACAAATAACACCTGTCCACGCACATCACGAACTACACTCCTCACATTGCAGACGTATCATATTCACCGACAC